AGACTTATTTGATTGTGGCCAGATATTTCAATTTATATTTAATTAGATCAAAATCATTTCAGACTTATTGAAATTTTATTTTGTGTATTTTAAGCAACTTCTGAAATGAGGTCAGAGAAAGAGAGAGAGAGAGAGAGAGAGAGAGAGAGAGAGAGAGAGAGAGAGAAATTTTTTGGGACAATTTTCTTGTACAGATTATTTTTATATAAGCAATGTTGTACTGTGGATGCATAGACATATATTACAATGCCACTATACTTTTGAGAGGTTGTTGAAGTGATCTGTGGATTCTGCTTCTACTAGGTTTCAGGTAGATTTAGCGAAGATTTTTCTTGATCTTTCAGGTCTTGTCTTGATTTCAACAGTTCAGTATAACTTCCATTTCTTAACTCTGTCACAGCTGAAATTGCTAACCGGAAGTCTTTAGAAAATTGTTTATAGCCTCACTCTGCTTTGTAAGAGTGAATTATCTTCATTTTGTATTATGTAAGGGTTGTGTCAGCTTCTATTCACTTAAAGATTCATTGAAGTGTACAGTTTGACCAGGGGTGCCTAAACTTTTGCATCTAACTGTAAGCCTGACAGTCATGCTGTTGAACAGTCCCTGTTTTGACAAAACTAGCTGCCCGAGGGCATTTTACTCAGCCCATCTTTAGGCAGAATTAGTCCTGTTCTGTTTTTTCTTGGCTCTTCCATCCAAAGGACCCATCCTTGTTTGAACTCTCAGTATTTTTCTTTTATGAAATATTCTCCCCCTTTTTCATGTAGAAGAACATGACATTAGCTTGTTGGCAACTGTACGTATAATATATAATTTGATACCTATCCCACTTTATACTAATCAATTTGGAGCCTGAATAGGGTAATAGAATCCTTAATCTTATGTAGCCCCAAAAGTTCCAATAAGCATACTGTAAGCCTTCTTTAGTTAAAGCTAAAATAACTTCTCAATATAGATAGTCCTCAACGTACGACCACAATTGAGCCCAAACTTTCTGTTGCTAAGACATTTGTTAAGTACGTTTTGCTCCATTTTACGACTTTTCTTGCCACAGTTGTTAAGTTAGAAACATGGTTATTAAGTGACTGTGGCTTCCCCATTGACTTTGCTTAACAGAAGGTCACAAAAAATGATAATATGACTCTGGGACATTGCAACCGTTATAAGTATGAGTCAGTTGCCAAGTGTCTGAATTTTGATCAGGTGACCATGGAGATGCTGCAATGGTTGTAAGTGTGAAAAATGGTCATAAGTCACTTTTTTCACTGCTTCTGTAACTTTGAACAGTCAGTAAGTGAATTGTTGTAAGTCGAGGACTACCTGTAACTTTATGTTTTCTTGGCAACAGTACTGAAGTGGAATGTCACTGTCTTCTTTCAGGCTACTCTCCTGATAGTATAGGTATAGGATAGTTTTTTTTAAAGTTTCAGCAGTTCTCTGTTAAAGTTGTTCTGTTAAAGCAGTTCTCTGTTAAAGTTGTAAGACAATAGTAATCCATTAGCTATATCATTTCTTGACTTTATGTCCTTTCTATCTCTGGTTGTTGATGTTTTTTTAAAAAATATGTTTTTATTTTATTTTTCAAAATTTCCAATTTGATTTGGCTCTGCACCCAATTGACCTGCAGAGTTTTCCAAATTATTTTTCATCCCTTCTTTTATCTCTTGATTCCTATCTCTTTTGAATTGTGCATTCACAGAAAATTTATGGATGCTGTTATTGTAACTCTTTCCCAACTCTTCAAAAATCTTTTGGAATGTCTCAAGTGTAATAACTTTTTCTATCGCTTCCGTACATTTCACTACTTTTCTAATAACAGCCATTTAATTAAGTACAGAAGTAAGAGAGAGAGTCTCTCTCTCTCTCTCTCTCTCTCTCTCCTTTCTGTACTTTTTAAAGTATTTGGTATCTTCTGGAACTTTGTAATTCTATGATCACATGGTCTACCTCAAGTATTCTTTATCTCTTTATTTTTCAAAATCCATTAATCATGTCTTCAGTAAAACTCTATAAACAATTTGTTTGCATTCCCATGAAGGCATTATTTGATCTATTTAATTGTTTCAAAAACATCCTAACAAAATTGATAATGTTTCAAATTTAACTGGTCCCTTAGTCCATTTTAAGCTTTCTTAAGTTAAATTCTAACCCAAACTTTTTGCCTGGAAAAATTCTTTAATTTATTATTTTACTCTTTTCTTTAATCTATAGTCTTTTCTTTAATCTTTAGTCTATAATAAAGAGTGTCTTTCTCACGTTAGAACTTGAAGGATTTAATATTTTAGAATAGATGACTGATTTTTAATCGAGTTCTAACTAACATTTTGATGATACGATTACTTTTCCTGATTTACTGATTTACATTTGTTACTTTTGATTGTTAGGATTTCTTTTTTTGAGATTTTATTAATAGTGTTTACTTAATAGATCAACATATTTGTTTACTAATTGTTTTTAATATGTTACAGTTTAAGCTTTGTTAAAAATGGTTGAATATGATATTTACTCATTATTATGATCTGGACGGTTGCTTGTTTGTTGAAATATGTGATTGTACCTATTCTTATTTTACCCTAATTCCTTATTTCCTTCCCCTCCCCCTTTCCTTTTACCCTTCCCTTTACCATATCTGTATTGTTCCTATTTTTCCTCACCTATATACATTTAATAAAATTTTGTTAAAAAAAAGAGTGTCTTTCTTTTTCTGCTGTTGCAGAAATCTCTGTTAGTTGTAAAATAGCTATAATCCAAACACACTTAAGAAAGTGAGGTTTTAGGGGACCTTATTTCCTTATGGACTCCACTGTAGGTGTGAGCTTATTGACTTTTCTGTGACTCCTATCTCTCAGACTCTGGGTTCCAAGGAGAAGCTGTCTGAAACATAAGTGAGTGATCTCTTGTTCTTTCCTTGTACAGAGAGGCTGTTTTGGCTTGGACTTCTCACCCAGCCATTGATCTCTGCTGCAGTATTGTCACCGTCTTTCATAAATGTCTTACTCTGTCATTGCCTGACCTGTAAATAATTTACTTTAGCATATTTTTGACTGAAGGCCAGATTAAACATATTATAAAATAAATAGCATAACATGCCCTGATTTATTCTTAATCTTGTCTGTCTAATATACTTGTATGGAACACTCTTCTTTCTCTGTTACAGATACTTCATCAGAAATGGGTAAGAGGTAACTTGTATGCAACCGAAAGTCTAGAACTGCACTATTAAAATGTGATGGGCTGGGACTTCCGGTGGCGATGACCATGCCGATGGCGGCTTTTCTTAGCCGTCCACCCTGGGATGTGTCAAAGCCTGCTGAGACAGTGAACAACAGCTGTCTCGCGGCTCGGAACCTTGCTCCCCGGGAGAAGGGGAGGAGGTGAGCTTTCCTCAGATAGTGGTAGAGCTCCCCGAGACCCCAAAGTTTTTTTGGTGGTCGGAGGCTGAGAGCTCCCACGGAGTCTGTAGTGTCCTCCACATTCCAGGATGCCTTTGCCCGGATTTTTTTTTCAGGGCAAAGCTAGACGATGCTTCCACATCTGCGCTTAAAATGAATTCATGAGTAAAATTTAAAGCAGACAGAGCTGACCAGGAGAGATTAAAATGGTGATTATTTTGAGACTTTAACTCTGGAAAAGAATTTATCTTCTCCTTTTTTCAATTAAAAATGGCACTGAGATTTTGATTCTTTGAGTGAAAGGACTGGAACTTTTATTTGGAACAATGTAACAGACTTTGTATTTACATAAAATGTAAGAATCTTCTTTTTTTCTTTTTCTTTAGGGGGCTTTTGTCTTTTTTCCTCCCCTTTTCTTTTTTTTTCTTCTCTTGATAATTGTTGATTTTATAAGATTTTAGCAGACTTTCTAACAAGTGGTCTTAAAAATAAAATGGCTTCAAAGCGTCTCGGAACTTCTGTTGTTTCTAAAGCTTCGATCTCCTCTCCGGTAATGCAGACAGCTCAGCAAGTTAAGTTTAAGTTACCACCACCTTCCCCATCATCATCAGCATGTACACTTAAAGATCTACAGGATGCCTTGGGAAATATGGCATGACAGATTAAAGGAGAGATGGAGGAATTTTTTGAAAAAAGAAACAGGGAAATGGGGGGAGGGAGGGAGGGGGTTGTTTTAGGGGGGATATTGTTAAAAACTTGTATAAAACTTTTCAATAAAAATGTGATGGGCTGAGGGTTTTTTTTTATAAAACAGATTGAGAACAGGTCAGGTGCTTTACATTTGCTTTAAGATTTAAAGAAAGATTATTTAAAAAACATTCACATTTTGTAACATTGCTGTGCCCAGTATAACCTTGCAAAGCCTTAAATAGTGGAACCCGTTTTGGGCTCACCTTAGGCTCAGGTTATATGTAGGCAATTTTTTCTTTTCCCAGTCACTCCACTTCTTAAGGTGCCAAAAGTGGTAACTATCAGCTTTGTGCTCTCAAAGAACTAATGATCTTCTGGACTCTGATTGAGAGCTATCATTTTCAAGCCCTCTGGATAAGTCTTTGCCACCAAGGGACTGGTAGTCTTCTACCTTCTAACTGGAGATTGTCAGTTTCTCACTTTTGGGTATTACTGTCACAGTGAAGTACTGGTTACCCTCTATCTATTGCATGGGCACACAGTTCCTTCCCTTGGAAACTATTATTTATCCAGACATGCACACAACTATACATATACATGCTAGATTTCATCACTCTGGCCATCCAATTTGTATACATCTAGATTATATTCCCCTTTGTTCTTTTTCAAGAACCAATTGGTTCTTGATTGTTCTATACCCATTAATGGGAAAGAACAGGAAAGAGAAGACAGCATAAGAAAGGGAGAAGAAACGCAAAGGGGTGGGGAGAATCATAGACTCATAGGATCGGGAGGGAACTTGGAGGTAAAAAACATTTTGGCTCATCTTCGGCTGAGATTAAATGCATGTAGTCCTGCATTAGCTACATTTTCTTCTTGAAACACAAATATTAATATTTTTATTTCTCTTTCTTTAGGTTCAGCTCAGCTGGTACTTCACAGTATCCCATTTCTTGAAATAAAGTACTATAATGGACCTGAAATCATCCTCCCTTGTTTGGTAACTAATCTGAAAGAGAATAGCCGTTTGTCAATGTTAGTGGAATGGCAATTTCAAGGAAATAAATTTTTCTTTTATGATGGAGTTACTGATAGCGTTACCAAAAACAATAGTTTTGATACTGCAACTTTTCTCAACCGCTCGATGGTACCCTACGGCATTGCTTCACTTGTTATATCAACAAAGCAGGCTCTTCTCGGAAATTATACTTGTGCAGTAACAGAATTAAATAGAGAAGGAAGAACAACATTTGAACTGAGAGAGAGTTCGGGTAAGTTACTTGTTTACATTTTCTGTGAAATCCATTGAAACTTTGGTTTTAAAATCTATCCATATAGTAAACTATTCATATTTTGGAGAAGATGAAGTGATCATCAGAAGAATACAGATGTCAGGTTTGGCTTAATATAGCTAGTTATAATTTGGGTTTATCAATCATAATATCCCTTTCCATGAAGCCTGTTTGTATAAAATAATATGAGAAGTATATAAACTAGGCAGAGTATAGTGACTTACAATTTCCACCACTCCATATCCATGATAGGACAGGAAAGTAAAGTGTGAATAAGAGAATCTAAAATGTTCCACTTTGGGCAAGTTTGGTAGTTTCACCATGGAATGCAATTTAATTTTTAGGTGGTGACTGAGAAATAGTTTTCATAGTCCTCCAGTATGTGTTCCTAAGACACTGAGAGAGAGCAAGGAGGAGGTAGCCAGAGAATCTGTTGAAATGTACGAGTCAAACTTCTTGTTTTCCTTGTAGCACCAAATAATGTTGCCACAGGAAGGACTTTTAGCTTTTTGCTATAAAGCAGCCAGGAAGGATATGCAGACAGTTTTGTGCATATGCACCGTCTTTATCCTGTCCTTTCAGAGGACATCACTACTGACTTTGCAGGCTTAATCTGCTATTTTCTCAGGCCTGAGTCATAATGTCTAATAATAGATGAGTGGAATGAAGATTTGCATTCGATATAAAGAGGTAAATTAACAGTGATGAAATCTGGACAAAAACTCTAATCCAGAAATATGCATTGGTTGGTTCTGAAATGATTTTCTCTCCTTGGAGGTTTGATCAGAGTGGAAAGTTGACTGGAAATATATCATTAGCAAATCGTTAGGAAATAATTGATATCAAAGTGTTCTCATATAAAGTTTTTCCACTTCTGCCTCTTCAAATATTTGGGTTGCCAAACTTTAGTTGTCCTAGGTCCCTTTGGAACTGTAAAGAACCATGAAAACTTTCACTGCACAATGGCTATTGTGAAGGAATATCATTTCATGCCATGGGGGTTTGAAAATAGAGGTTAAAATCTGATTGTTAACTAAGATTATCCCATGCCATTTTTCAATAAGATTAAAAAACTATTTCCCCCCACAAGTCAATAGAATTAGCACTTTATTTTAGCACTGTCTAGTAAAAGTTGAAGTAAATCTGTTGGATGGGGAAAGTGGTGTTGGTAAATGCCATGCTGTTATTCTTAGCCATATAGCTTTGTAGCCATACTTCAGAAATGCAAAGAAAAGCCAATTGAAATGCCCAGCAAATGCAAAGTCTTCTCTGTAGAAAACTTGATAATAATATTCAACCAGGACTAGGGAGCTGTTGATCCAGAATTAGGGGAAAGCATAAACTGTGAATATGTGCAGATGGTCCTGCTATCTTTGGGTACTTGCAGGGTCATGGAAGGTCAGCAAGGAAATCACCCAATGTCCCAAATAAAGAACATGCAGCGTCTTTAGAGAAACACCCAAAAGGAACATTTTTAGCTATTTCTGACCCTAGATGGGTCTTTGATACTTATGAAAGCAGAGACTATGACTATTTAAAAGGCTTCCAAGAAGATAATAATAATAATAATAATAATAATAATAATAATAATAATAATAATAATCACTGCAAGAAACAAACCAACTAATGTACAGCACAGCTGCAGTTATAACTGAATACCTGGGATGCAAAATCAATAAAGAAGAAAAACAAACCAACAGTGCACCACAAAAATGGAAGGTTAGACTAGAAAATAAGATCAGCAAGTTAAGATCACATGCAAGCAAGCTAGAACAGATGAAAGAAAAGAAGCTGAAGAACAAGAAGACCAAAGAATACCTAATCAAGAAATACCACTTAGAAACAAGGAAGATCAAGGAAGCACTGGAAATAATAAAGCAACAAATAACAGCTATAGCCAGGAAAATCAGTAGATATGAAGCTCGAATTGCAAACTATAGGCAGAACCTCCAATTTCAATCCAATCAGAAACGTTTCTACCAATCCATCAATGGAGAAACTGCAAGGAATCAATCAGTACCTGACAAGGAAGAAACTGTGCAGTTCTGGAAGCAGATATGGGATAACCCAAAGAAATACAACAAGGATGCAGCTTGGTTAAAAGAGGTGGATGCAAATAAAACAGAAGTTGAAATGAAAGAACTAGTAATAACAACAAAAATGGTAGAAAAAAGAGCAAAGAAAATCAAAAATTGGTCAGCACCAGGTGAAGATGAACTGCATGGGTTTTGGTTGAAACATCTAACTGTTATACACCCACTCATTGCCAAGCAGTTCAACAATATACTACAAGGAGGAGAAATTGAAAAGTGGCTAACAACTGGGAAAACCTACCTAATAATGAAAAATCCAGCAAAAGGGGCAACACCAGGCAACTACAGGCCAATTACCTGCTTACCAACAACTTTCAAATTACTAACTGGTGTGGTAGCTGATGCAGTACAACAGCATCTAGTTGAAAACAATCTCTTTCCACCTGAGCAGAAAGGAAACCGCCCCAATAGCAGAGGAACAAAAGATCAACTCCTAATAGACAAAATGATCTTGGAAAACTGCAAGAGAAGGAAGACCAACCTGAATGTGGCATGGATTGACTACAAAAAGGCATTTGACTCTCTGCCACATGACTGGATAATCAAGTGCCTAGAAATAACAGGAGTCAGTAGAAACATCAGAAAATTTGTGCAAAGATCGATGGCACAATGGAAGACACAGTTGCAGATCAATGGTGAGAGACTGGGAGAGGTTAATATCAAGAGAGGAATATTTCAAGGAGATTCATTGTCACCATTACTATTTGTTATTGCACTGTTTCCTCTGTCAACAATACTGAATAACTCAGGACATGGCTATCAAACATCAAAAACATCTACCAGACTATCCCATCTCCTTTACATGGATGATCTGAAGCTGTATGGAAAAACATCATCTGAAATAGAATCTCTACTCAACACTGTCCGTATATATAGCCAAGATATTGTAATGGAGTTTGGCTTGGACAAATGTGCCACACTTACTATCAAACAAGGAAAAGTAGTGAAAAATTATCTGCAAAAAATCTGCAAAAAAATCATTTCCCTGTAAGCAAAAACTGGTGGGATCATAAAATAGAGAAAGTCATAGAAAATGATAAAATTAAACTGCTCTGGGACTTTAGAATTCAAACAGACAAGCACCTGCAACATAACGCCCCAGACTTAACAATTGTCGATAAGAAAGACAAAAAGTCTGGATAGTGGACGTGGCAGTGCCTGGAGACAGCAGAATAGAAGAGAAAGAACTGGAGAAGATAACAAAATACAAAGACCTACAAATAGAAATAGAAAGACTGTGGCAAAAGCAAGCAAGGGTAGTACCAATAGTAATAGGCTCCTTGGGTGCAATCCCAAAACAACTGGAGCACCACTTGAACACCATTGGCATTGACAAATTCGCTATTAGTCAATTGCAAAAGGCGGCCTTACTAGGAACTGCTTCCATCCTGCGACGATATCTGTAATACCATCAAACATCCACATCTGCCTATCCCAGGTCCTGGGTAAGGACTCGATAGGTAGACAAAATGCCAAATCCAGTCTGAACATCTGGCTGACTGTGCGATGATCCATAATAATAATAATAATAATAAAGTTGGAAGGGACCTTGGAGGTCATCTAGTCCAACCCCCTGCTCAGGCAGGAAACCCTACACCATTTCGGACAAATGGCTGTCCAGTCTCTTCTTAAAAACTTCCAGTGTTGGAGCATTTACTGCTTCTGGAGGCAGGTTGTTCCACTGATTAATTGTTCTCACTGTCAGGAAGTTTCTCCTTAGTTCTAGGTTGCTTCTCTCCTTGATTAGTTTCCACCCGTTGCTTCTTGTCCTGCCTTCAGGTGCTTTGGAAAATAGCTTGATTCCCTCTTCTTTATGGCAGCCCCTGAGATATTGGAATACTGCTATCATGTCCCCCCTTGTCCTTCTCTTCGTTAAACTAGACATACCCAATTCTAGCAACCTTATATGTTTTAGCCTCCAGTCCCCTAATCATCTTTGTTGCTCTTCTCTGTACTCTTTCTAGAGTCTCAACATCTTTTTTACATTGTGGTGACCAAAACTGGATGCAGTATTCCAAGTGTGGCCTTACCAAGGCATTGTAAAGTGGCATTAATTACTTCACGTGATCTTGATTCTATCCCTCTGTTAATGCAGCCTAGCACTGTGTTGGCCTTTTTGGCAGCTGCAGCACACTGCTGGCTCATATTTAGGTGATTGTCTACTAGGACTCCGAGGTCCCTCTCACAGTTACTACTATTGAGCATAGTGCCACCTATGCTGTACTTGTGCATTTGGTTTTTCTTGCCTAAATGTAGAACCTTGCTTTTTTCACCATTGAATTTCATTTTGTTAGTTAGTGCCCAGTGTTCAAGTCTGTCCAGATCCTTCTGTATCTTAAGCCTGTCTTCTGGAGTGTTGGCTATTCCTACCAGCTTGGTGTCGTCTGCAAATTTGATGAGTTTCCCATCTATCCCTTCATCCAAATCGTTGATGAAAATGTTGAAGAGCACTGGGCCCAGAACAGAGCCCTGGGGCACCCCACTACACACTTCCCTCCATATAGATGCAGTTCCATCGAGAATCACACGCTGAGTACGGCCGGTAAGCCAGCTACCGATCCATCTGGTGGTGATTCTGTCTACCCCACATTTTTCTATCTTATCAAGTAGTAGGTTGTGATCTACTTTATCAAATGCCTTACTGAAGTCCAAGTAAATTATGTCCACAGCATTCCTCTGATCCACTAATTTTGTCACTTGGTCAAAGAATGCAATAAGATTTGTCTGGCATGATCTATTTTTGACAAACCCATGTTGGTTTTTAGTAATGACTTTGTTTGCCTTTAGGTGTTCGTTGATTCGTTGTTTGATTATCTTTTCCAAGATCTTCCCAGGTATTGAGTTCAGGCTGATAGGTCTGTAATTTCCTGGATCCATTTTTTCCCC